TATTTTTTAAAACTTACTTGATTTGGTAACGTCGACATGAACAATCTAATTGGTCAATATAAATATTAATCACGTGCGTACATTTAGGAAATAATAGTTTATATGGACGGGACCAAAAAATCATTGCATGTGCAGGATATAGGGGGTGTGCATTTATCACTAAGTCCCAAGCTCGGAACCGTGCCAAACCGTGCATTTAGGGAGGGTGTGCATTTAGAGGGTTTTCTCTGTAGATATATAATTCCGAACTGACATTAATTCCAATCGAGAGGACCGACTTATCGAGAACACGTGACCTAACCGAATAATTGTAAACAAACTATCTAGAGTAGTTTGTTTCATTGAATTGATTTGTTTCTTCCTTATTTGATTTTATAAGTCTCTTATTTTTAATACTAAGGAACAATCTATGCTAAAGTCACTCTGTTGTTGTAAATAACTCAATATATTTTCAACACTTTCTAAATTGACACCGGTAATAGATATAAATCGTCGTTGCTGTCATACGCTTCCTCAGCTGTTCCTTGAACTAAAGTGATGATTTCTTCATCGTTTATTTCAAATTCCTCCAGAAAAAGATGAAAAAAAAAGCAGTTGAACAAGGAGTTGCCATTGCACAATCTAATCTTGCTGTTTCTCAATGGCTGTAAAATTTTTACTACCACCTTTATTAGAGTTAACTACGGCAGATTCTATTTTGCAATTTATAATATTGTTGAAGATAGCAAAGACGTGTAAATTTTAGTTTTCTAGTGACATTATTCTTATGTCATTATGACACACGCGAATAATTACAAAATTATTTGGTATTACGTTAACGTATCGAACTTACTGTAACACAACGTTCTTAACCAATAGAGCATTTTTATCACGTATGATTAGAGCTTATCGAGAAATTATATAGATTGGCCGACTTATCGAATATTTTTAAATAGTGAAAAAAGGGGCTGAAGACATTTAGCCGAATTATCGAGGGGCCGAATTATCGAGGGGCCGACTTATCGAGGGGCCGAGCCGACTTATCGAGGTTGACTTGTCTATAGTTTCTTTACTATCTGCCTATAGTAATAATTCGTGCCAAAACCATTTTATATGAAAATCACCTCACAATCTAATAATAAATCTCCTTGTAATGACCGCTGTCTAGTCATCTAATCACGTGCTTTATTTAATTTGTAGACGCGCTTCTAAAGTTTAAATAAAATAAAATAAATTAAATTAAATTATCAATTACTCCTACTTCTACAATTTCACCAAAAATTAATGCTCACAAGCGCACGGCGATCTCAATTGATAAAAATGCTTAACCTCGATGTTGACCGTTGAACAATTAAAAAGGATACTTCCAGCGAGAAAAACTACCAACATTAGATAACTTTCAGCAAGAAGATTCTAAAGACCTGTTGAAACATATTAATGCACTAGATCGTTACATTAGTTTAAAATCAATGAATGTAATGAAACAAACGACAATAGACGAGTTTTTCAATAATAGCTAATAAATATCTATTAATGAATCACGTGCAACCAATCAAATTCTAAACCTCTATTCAGGCATCTCTCTATTCAAGCACGCTCTGCCCCATTCCCGAAGGCGTGCTTATATGGAGGGTTGACTGTACTTATTTTCAATAAAATGTTTTATTCTTTCTCTAAACGAATAAAGACATTATCACCACAAATATTCAATAAAAAAATTGTCGCGTACAATAAGTTGAGAATTCTCTACAAGAAAAGAATTTTAATTCAAACTATGTCGTTAACGTCGGGGTTGTTAACAATCCAGCAATTGAAACTTGGTTCAACCCCTTTTGGAAAGTGAGAATAAATTCTTAAGACTTGAATGGATTCCTTGGAAGCGATGAAACATGCACGTCATCATCGTGAGTGAGTTTTCTAAGTATCCTCACTTCCAACGCACATATACGCTTATGACGTTAATCAGTTCAGAAGATATTACAAATGGCTTAATATTAAGGGGCGCAGCTTCTACATAACGGGATATACAAAATACGAAAATAATCATTACATGGTTGCTGATAGAAAGCTTGCCAAATTTAGGGGAGGTCGACGAAGAGTAAGGGGATAGTTTGGATTTAGTGATGGTTGTGAAGACAACAATTGGTCCTGTTCATATAAATGAAGTCAATCTACAATATTAGACATCCACTGTTTATGATTCAATGACTCGCTCTTTCAAATAAACCGGTTATTTACAGTTTGTACGAGTTTTATTCAAGGGTTTACTCCTCTTCTAATATGAGCTATGTTAAGTCCTTGTAACGACTTTTTATATATGCCGTTTGGTTGGCCAACTTGTCCACAACAAAGATTTGACTGGTTTGTGTATAAACAGGCGATGTTTTTTATCAATCGAATTAATTAGTAACAAGGCAAACCCAATTTTCTTGACAAAGTAGATTCACTTGCGCGCCTTAAAACGTGGTCTAGACGAAGAATAAAGTTTTACGCGAATAATTGCTCAAATTTCTTCATGTATGAATCATTGTTTCGGTAAGTTCAGACTAGTATGACGCATATGAAAAAAGACATTGGCGTAATTTTATGTTGCGATTACGGATATAAGCATGTTTGAGCAATGGCAGGATTTACGAATATCTCAAATAGTTCTCTCACGTTAACTCGAATCTCACCCATCTCACCCGACTTTTCTTCATACTCTTGTTAAAGCTTTGCATTTGCGCACCCCATCCATCTAACGCCCTCCAATCTTTGCCTCTTTTACCAGCACCCCTGTACACAAATCGGCTTTCTTTGTCTTCACATTCACGTACGCGCACACCATTAATTCGCTCTCATCCCAATCTGTTTTGATTTCCTACCGGTCCTCGTCTAATCCTATCTCTTTGCCCGGATACTATTAATTGAATCTCCAGTAGTAGATAACGGTAAGTTCGCTTAATATATACCCCGTTACACAATCTCTTGTTAGTAACAGCAAAATATTATTATAACGGATATCTCTTTAACTCACCAATAACATAGTCAATTACAAAATCCTGTAGCAGAGAGATTTAGCCCAGTATATACTGTATGGAAAAGCAGACGTTGAGTGAGGAGTAGGCTATGTCACCCAAGTAATATTCACGAGAGTGAGAGTTTATAACAACAATCTCACTGCATATACGCAATTGCTAGCTATGACTATTGGGAAAAGGTTATGAATAGTTGGCTATTTTTAAAGCAGGGTAAGTAAAGCAATACAAATTCTCATCATATTATAGTTTCAAATACTGGCAGCTATTTTCCAACATGAGAATATTATTATTTTAATAGCAGCGGCGTTATAATTAATTTTATGGAGTAAATATTATAAAAATTGGGCAATTATCAATTAATAAATATGAGAGAATTGTTATGTCAATTTGTCGATTCTGTGACGGGATCTCTTTCGCGTCCTTTCAAATTTGCATTCAAGATAACCTATCAGTAGAAGAATTATTTTTTCTAATTACAAACTAACAAGTTATAAACCAACAAATATAGTTAATTGCCGCCCGTTATTTAATTAGCCTAAAAAAGGGGTTTAGTATTGTAGCATGGTATCCAATTGCAAAGAAAACAAACAAACGTGAAAGCAAAGAATAATTGGTTATGCTTGTGGCTTCTTATTCTTGAGCTACTATTCTTGTCAACATATTAATATGGCCCACTAAAATAATGTTTGAAAAATAATAATTGTGTGTAACATCGAATGTTTGTTATTATTATGAACACCGTCTCACATATGTGTATTATTCTGTACCCCTCCGTCCCGATGTCAACATGTTACTTTAATCCGTTGTTTTGGGTTTGGAAGCCAATATCGTTTTCAAATTCTCGTACCCATGCTCTCGTACATGCTCTCGTAGACGTTCACCCAGGCATCCGCTGGCATCTCACGTTGATGATAATCAAAAGATAGTTGACTATTTCTTGTCATCAATCCCAATTATTGAACGAACTTGAAATGCAATAAACAACGAATGGATGCATAAACATAGCCGTTAAATTTATAATTAAACCATTATTGACAAAACATGAACGCAAATAATGTATAGGTAAATTAGACCGCCGATCCTTCTTATGCTTAGATATGTTTGCTCAGTAACACATAAATTATTTCAAAGGTTGTCTGGTATGTGAACACGAAATATGCAATGTGCACCTGCGTCTTGGCACTGTACCGTTCGAGACTCTGGTGCATACATGTAATTGTTAATTGGCATGAGGTTACGAGATAACTTGGATTCCGAATCCACAGAGATGAATCGTTTTGGTATTGGTTGGGGTAAGCTTAATATCTGAACACGGTGCACTTTAACATTGGATTCACAATACATTGAAGTTCACTCACTAACACAACACATTCACATCAAAATATTCACATTTTTGGACACGTTTATCAGTTCAATGGTTTGTATATTTAAAAGCAAGAAGGCAAGAGTCTAATTACAATGCGTTTTTACAAAAAATCTACGATAATTAGACTTCTTTGCTATGAATTCTGTAAAGCAAGTGTCAAGAATGCCTTACAAAGAATGCAAGAAAAATAAAGAGAGTGATGTTTTGTGTAGGTAGAGGGATTGAACGAACAAGCCAGCAGATTAGAATAATTGCCCGCATTCGATCGAATACTGCGAAGAAGGTAAATGCTTTGAAGACTAAGAATGTCTAATGCATTCGACTGAAAAAAAAATAGTATCCGATTCTTTCTATGTGATATGTATATTGTATATAATATAATGTCTATATAGGATATAAATAAAAAAAAAACCACGATTTTTTTTTTTTGGTTGATTTTGGCTATTATACATGAAAAATGCAAAAAGAAATATGAAGTCGGAGATGGCTAATTACAAAGAATGATGTTTTGAGATGCTCGAACTAAATGCAAATAACCAAATTTGTAAACATCTGTTTCGGTTTATACATTATCTTCACTTTTTCCATCGTCACTTTTATTCATCAGCTCAAACTCCTGGCTGCCCTTCTTGTCTGGCTTGGTCTTGTCCGCTCCTGATTTCATATCCAGAGCAAAATCCATTTCCACTCCTATTTCTTGGGTAATGAGAATGCCGTCTTGCATGGCCGGAGGAGCCCTAGACGTAATGGTTGTTGACTGAACGCTTGATCCCGTGATATTGTTCGAACTCTTAGATTTACCAATGTAGTGCTGGTAGATTCTCTTTGCCAACACATATTGACACACAGCTATTAGAGGCTGAGGACCAGTGATATACCAAGTTCCAGAGATGAACAAACTGTAGAGATTGGGACCAGTGACCATTGATATATATCTGATACCGTATACACCCCAACCAGGCCCGGAGATGAATGACAGGAAGAAGAGGTATGCCATGGTATACTTCAATCGATGGAAAGCTTGGCGTGTAGGACTGTTCGATTGATGATACGTACCACCGGCACTTCGATTATCAAAGTTGTTCATTGAAGTCCTCAAGATGATCATAAAGTGAATTCCGTAGTATGCCGAGATTATCGACACACTCCAATCATATACCCAGTACGATACATAGTGCACTGTAGTCCACGCGGCTGCTGTCTCGAAATTTCCCTGATCTCTAGCCACACCAGAGAGTACAGCTGCAGGAAGCATGATAAGGGTAGGGAATAAGAAGTAAGCCCCGAGGACAAAGTTCAGTTGAATCGGAGTGGGGAGGATGATGACGTGGGTAGATTTGTCGTTGCTAACGCCGTTGTTTGTAGAACGCTTGTTTGATGAGCCAAGCGAAATCATTGCGTCCGACCCTCGAGTGTAGCTTACGGGAATCGTATAGATAATGCCTAGAAGTAGATATGATATAAACCAATTTAGAACATAATCACAAACCTCGCAAGCAATTAAATAATGGTGCGAAATATCTGCTTACCGATTAGGTAACACGCGGCACCAAAGCAAAGGAAAGTCCAACCTAATTCTTGCAGCAACTCTCTCTGCCAATACGCGCTGAACGCATCAAACAACAACAAAAGTGCATAAAGTGCTCTGAGCACAGTCGATATCCCCCAAAATAACAATAGACAATCCACCGGCAATGGACGGATTCCTGAAGATTGATCAACGAAAAGCCCCTGCCACATATATCTTCGCCGATAATAGAAGAATATGGCGCTTGTAAAGGCCAGGATAGCATTGGTGACCAAGGAAATCGAAACTTCTGTCACCCAGATTTCCGTCAGAATGCAGTCGCGGATTTCAATACGCCAATCACAGAATTTTGGAATTGCAGGTGGAGTTCCTGCCGTAGCATTATCGGCCTGAGGCATTTCTTCTACGCAAAGTTGAGAATTGGTAGGTTTAGATTAGAGTTTTAACCGGATTGTTGGGGGGTGTTTTTTTTTTCTTTTTTAATCTTTGCCCGTAATGACAGAGTAGGGGACTGGGAATAAAGAAGGAAGGTATTGATGTTGAGAACTGAAGACGAAACCGGTATGAAAAGAATGATAGCGGGGCCATCGAGGGTCTTTATGGATTTTTCGTTGTTTTACAAGGCCCATGGTGATGTAATGGAACAAGTAATACAACAAACTTTAAATTAATAATCCATTTGTCCGCTGCATAGGTGCTGTGTCACTTTTCCCCAGTTAACTCCAGACAAAGTCTTCCTTGTTTGCCGTATGCGAAAGCTGGGTGTTTTGTATCCCAGAGAGTAACTTTACAGAGCATAGAATAGAGTCGATAAATGGAAGGCTTACAGTAACTTGATCTGCAGGCTTAATAACTCGTACAATAACCTCCACACTGCATCAATTTTTCTCAGATCATCCGGTCGAATCTTCGTCGGTGTTCCAGATTAGGCAGAGAGCAAGCTCTGTAACCCATTTGTCCTCTGGGCTTAATTAATAATAATATCCTTCAGCATTTTACGTTCGGACACACATACACAGCATTAAAGCATGTATGCCTACTGACAACGGATTCATCAGCAGATACTATTTTAGGCTTTGACAATAGCGGTTGGTGATATTGTCGCAAACAACGAGGAACGTTCGTCTTTATGCTCGCGGACTGTCAGTGAAGGCCGATTACAATCGAATGTGTTCCTGCCTTTATCTTGTTCGCAACCAATTACTGTTTGTTGGTAATGAAAAGTCTTGTCACATATTTGGGTGGTCATGCGACATGAAATAATATGCAGTAATCAATCGATTTACCAAAATTGTCGTATAGGTTACTAAATTTGGGTTATAGAAGAGTGTTTGCCTATTCAGGTTAGTACTACAATCAATGCGTGATACTGTGACCCACTCGAGTGATCAAATCACTATACAATGAGACAAGTACTCGATGAATATTATTATGATGAACGGTTTTGATTTTGATTTTTTGATGATACTAAATATGCATTCTCTATTATAACAAGGAATTTTTCGAAGTACCAACAATCTACTTGACCGAGAATATTATCCTGTCATATAACTATTCTGTTCCCACGTTACCTCAAAACAATAGCCGAATCCCAGCGATTTTTGACAATTTTCCGTCCCGATTCTATATAATTGCTGTACATAAGACCCGAATGTACTGGTTTCTTCCGTGCACGATGTTTATTCATGTGCATGCGAGTTTAAGCAGAAAGTGGATAGCTTATTTCTGCGTTTTAGAAGAGAGTGGGTGTGAGAAGATTGAATGAATGCATTGAATAACTCGATTGTACTGAATGTACTGAATGTACTGAATGACTTGATTGTAGTCAACGTAACGCATAGATTGGATATTTTAATATATGCATGAATGTTTAGTCAGTTAAACGTTCCAAGTCATCGAACCGTGTTAGCAAGTAACAAAGGCAATGCTGGCCACAAAGATTCATTGGGAGCGAACATCGATAAAGCGTATCTATGTAATCGGTTAGAAAACAAAGCAAGTGATCGTTTAATTACTTAATGAAAGAAGTTTATTCTTCTTGTGTATACCAATTATCTTTTTTCTCATTACAGTTCGATTTCTATGGTTTCGCTTGCCAGAAAGGGATGCCTTGTTGGATATAATCAGCCTATGACTACAAACAAACAAATGAGAGAAAAAAAAATACGGGGGCTTATACTGACAGGTGAGACAAATTAGTAACAGATTTTCCGAGTTTTGATTTGCGCGTTGCCTTGGCTTAAAAATAGAATAAAATTTTTTAATTTATTAATTTCCTTGTGAATTTTTCATAAAGTTCGCTTGACAATTATATTTCAACCGGTTCATTGTTGCAGATTAACTTCATCTGAACCACTCAATTATAATCTGTTTGCAATTGTTTTTCCTGCAACTTACTATTCCCAACTTTTAATTCGTTTCTAGTTACCCAAGTTCATTAGGCCTTTTGCTTAGCCTGCTCGTTCTTCTATCTCATTCCTCATTTTCCTTGTTTCATTTCCATTATTTGATTTTAATCCACTCAATCCTAAATACAAGTAATTAAAATTTTATCTAACCTTTTAATTGGTTGTGCATATTATGAACTTGCACCTCTACGAAGTTAAAAGTTTATAGTTTTTCCCGGCAACTGCAGAGAAGGAACTTATTCATGAAGCGTCATTTTGACATTCCAGTAAGAATGCAGCATCGGATAAATTAGAGTTTACTATTTTCGTGGCTAAAATTTTAATTGGGATATTGAAATTGGGTTAATAGCAAGGCTCAAAGGTATATTGATGATAACACCTTGACGAAAACTTCAAACAGGTCATATTAATGGTTTGAAACAACAGGAGAATAGATCCCTCCACATAATATGACAGAATAAAAATTGGAGATAATACTAAAGAAGTTCCAGTTGGAGTTCAAATTCTATAAATCACCACTAATTATAGTTAGCATACCATTTGCGTTAATGCATCTGTATCTGTATCAGATTCCACGTAACAGAATCGGTAATAGTATTCCAAGGCGACAACAGTGTTTTACTTGGAAAATAAACATTCCTTTCTCTCCACCAACTTTACATTCTTGATTGCGATTATACGCTTCAGTCCTATATTGGCGAGAAAAGAAAAATATAATTAATAACCGTGAGTGTGAACATTAACAGGTGCGCATTTTTATGTTGTCATGTTAATAATAAAGTAATTAGACAGCATAAACCGTTTTTGTTTACTTCATCTCTGTCTATAATCTCTATTGATCACACAATGTTCGCTACTGATAAAATCTCGTATAATATGTTTTAAAATATTTATATTAACTTTATTTATACTAATTCCCGCCGTTTCCCTTACAAATTTTGTCGTGTAATCTCCGTCTAAAATTGAATGTTAGCAGATGTTATTTACTTATGGCATGCGTGGTGTTTGAAACATCTCAACTCGCTGTTCGTAACGGGTAAGGTCGTGTGTGTGGTGAATATTGTGGACGCTGACAATAAATTTATTATCAAAGATGTCTTTTCTAACTGGAGTCTAAACTACGATGGGAAAACGTTAATAATTCTGAGACCACTGAATTTGGTACCCTCATCGTAATCGATTGTATTTACTATGGCGGCGTTTATAATTTCCATCTATTTTGTCAAAATTTTATTGCTTTTCGCTTTGATTGCTGAATCCACTTGTCAACCTGCGCAATATAACTTGTGAGGATCTATCATTATTTTAACACATGCGAAACGACGCGCTGCCATCAGTAGTAAAATACCCTGCAGTTTTACAAAGTTAATCTTACGCTCACAGATGCGGACGCAAAGAAGGGGAAAGACATTATTCTCTGTAAATCTTGCGTAAAAGAACAATGATTGGCCTATAAAAAAACATATTCCAATCTGACGATGGCGTCTGTTTGAAAAATCGTCAAAACCCGACCGTTCAAAAAGTTAAATTGCTCATAATTTTCATCAAATTACGCGAGATTAAATCGCTATAATTTGCTGAACGATATTAATGCAATTGGCGCCGAGACTTGAGCAAGGTGAGGAAGTGCTGAAGGAGAAAATGCAAAGATGCTTGTCAAGATTGAAGAATTTAAACCTCTAACTTCTTACGTTAATGATTATCGCGTCCCGAACGTACAGACTGCAGAGACTGATGACTCGACCTATTTTCAGGCAGCATTGATTAACTGAAAACCTAGGATATGCTAAAATATGAAATAAATGAATGGAGCAAACTGAGCAACAATTAGTTGAATATAACCAATGTGATTGATTTTTACTGTGTTTGTAACTGAAAAAATCAAGTTCTAAGAAATAATTATGGGGCAACTTTATACGTTCATTCTGTTGCAGCACGCCTCGACCATAACACAATACGCTGTTGCATTAATATTAAGCAAGAGCGTTTGGAAGACAGCCAGCTTTAGCAGTTATGATCCCAATTGTAAACTAAGAAACAAATCGAGCATGGAAACCCAAGCCATGAAGGCAATACAAATTCTTTTAAAAATTGTTTCGATCTCTTTTATCTGTTACCCAAAATAAAGTCATTTAAAAGATTTTTTAAACCGTCTACATATTTTTAACTATTCGCTATATTGTCCGCCACAGCCTTTGAAATAATAACTCTTTGAATCTGGGATGTTCCTTCGTATATCTGGAATATCTTCGAATCCCGATATAGCTTCTCCACAGGGTACTCTATTGTAACAGTTAAATAAAGTATAATGTTGGAACCAAACTTTAACATTAGTGTAAATGAAACCATTTGTTATGCTCTCACCAGTATTGAAGCCATTTCCACCGAATATTTGGACAGCCATATTAGCGGCATTGACTGCAACATCCGATGCAAGCTATACCGAATATTATATTCAGATGAGTGCGACAAGTATCATTTACAAGCATACCAACATATTGGTGTCAAAGTGACTTACAGCCTTGGCAATAGATGCGTAATAAGTATTTCGCTGATTCTGATCTCGCACCCAAGCAGCCTAAAATATATAATCCATTAGAAATTCAACATTCCTCCTTTCTTATCAAAATCAACAGCGGGATATATCGTCCTACCTTCCACACCATGGATCGTGCAGCCTCTACACCTATTGCCATATCCGCTATCATAGTCGCCACAGCGCCATGTTCGAAACTTGACCGAAGCAATTAAATAACTTCAATCAACCATCACATAAAGAGTATTTTTACAAATTCTAGTATTAAAACTCACATTGGTTTACCAAAAGTCTTTCTCTCTAAGGAATATCTAGTTGCCTCTTCCAACGCACGTCGAGCCAGTCCAACGGCTGCTGATGCAACAAGAGGACGAGTGATGTCGAACGCTTTCATGGCGATCTTAAAACCAATACCAGGAGTGCCAAGGCTTGATTTTATAGTTAGTAAAGGCACAAATAAACGATCTTTTCCTATCTCCATGCCTCTTCAGTCTGCACGGTTTTTCAAACTTGACTAAATCTCACTTTTCCTCTCCTCTCGTCAATATTTCCTCCTCAAATACTCACACGTTCTCTTCAGGCACTACAACTTCTTCAAAAGTAATTCCTCTAGTATCACTCGCTCTCTGTCCTAGGTTAATCTCTTTCCTTCCGGGAGTGATGCCGGGAGTATCGGCGTCAACAATGAACCCGGTAAAGGCTAATCCAGTTTTGGCTGTCGGATCGGTCTTTGCAAGCACAAAATACCAATTAGCCTTTCCCCCATTCGTTATCCACATCTTACTACCGTTAATGACCCAATGATCCCCCCTCTTCTCTGCTTTAGTCTTTACTCCCGAGACGTCACTGCCTGCCCCAGGTTCAGTCACGCAATAAGCGGCCATAAGCGGTTCTTCGGTCATTCGTCCAAGATACTTCTTTTGCTGCGCTTCATTGCCAGCAACGATTAATGGTGCTTCAGCAAGACCATTGGCTTCGATTGCAGTCTGGATACCGGTGCATCCCCATGCCAATTCTTCACTCACAAGAGACGAGTCGAATACCCCCAGTCCCAGACCACCAAATTGTTGCGGAATGTGGGTGTTTACTAGACCAAGTTCCCAAGCTTTTTTAATAATTTCAGTTGGATACTCGCCTGTCACATCGTGATGAGCTGCTTTAGGAATTATCTCTTCCCGTGCAAAATTGTGTGCAAGTTCCTGGATTTGGCGTTGCTCTTCTGTCAACGCAAAGCTAGGGCCGACTGTGGATGGAGTAGCACTGGCAAAGGTGCGCAGAGGGAATGATAGTGACCGGGTGAATGTGTGGGTCAATCTAGTTAAATGAAACATTTTTGCCGTGTGATTTTAAGTTATAATAATTTAAAAAATGCTACTGAGGGTCGAGAGAAAATATCAATTGAAAAACTCGGTTACACAAATGTTGATCGTCCTAGCCCGATAAACTAAACAACTCTTTTCGTATTAGTATTAGAATGATTGCACACAATATGATAATGATAATCAGATTTATCAGATCGATTTGATCAATTTCTATAATGAAAAACCAACAGCGGTTTCTTTTTCTTCCTCGAACCAATGAATATTTGCTTACAAGTTACAGTAAAACAATGGTTGATACTGTCTTTCATTACTAGAGGAATTATTACATAGTCTGTTGATAACGCATCTAATACATCTGATTATGTCAGGATTTCGATTGTTGCTATTTATGATGATAACGAGATAGAGAGAATGCAATACCATATTTCGTTCCCCATTACAATGGATATCTGCAAATAATGAGAATTGAATTGGTACTGCATAGAGTTTCCTGTGAAGAACAGACACTAATTAAAAGATAGCGGATAATTGTAATTATATTGATATCGGATTATTTTGTTCTCAGTCTCCATTACTGAAACGAAGAGCGAAGTTTACGATGACGGCCGCTATATGTACACGAGTGTAGATAGTATAGTGCGTCAGTTACATGGATAATATAGTTATATCATCAAATAAAAGTTCCATGATTCGATCATACGTTAAGAATACTAACCTAGAAGAAAACCACATAGCACAGTTGGTCCTATACGATCATCGTAGGGACCAGATTCCCTCGTGCGTATTTTTGTTGCTCTCCAGTGAAATAAGAATAAAGCGTATAACATGATAGACATAGCTTTGAAATACAATAATATCATGATGAGATAAGTGGGGTTTGTTTTTCTTTGCAGGCTTTGAATGAAACGTACCGACAAAAGTGAACAGAGCAGCTGATATTCTCCCTATTCTGTCGCCAAAGTTGAGCAACCCTATAGCGAGGCCACCCAGAACGACTGTAAACTGTAACCAAGAAAGGAAGGTCCTTTCATTTGCAAAGAAGACCTACGATATGATGTCGATATTCAATGAGTATGCGACTCGTAAAGACGTGCTTAGTATTGCATGTAGAGATTATACCTTGGGCTCTACTCTGGCAGGTAAATCTATCCGCTTCGGGTGCGAGTTTTGAAGAAGTGGTTGAGACGACATTGTTAGGGCAACAACTCCTTTACAAGTTGCAACTCTACATTTATTGTATATGTGGCAACACGTCCACGTGATTAGGGCTGGGCATTTCAGCCCATCAATTGAAAACTTAGTCGATAATTCAGACACTTTTTTCCGACACTTTTATCACGCTAGTCCAAATGCCGGATTTGTGTTAGTTACGACTGATGATGATTTGATGACGGGCGCTCCCCATGCAGAATACCATAATAGTGTCGGAAAAAAGTGTCTGAATTATTGACAACAATCTCTATCAGCACTGTGCAATACGGTGTACGATGCAATCATTGGTTGGGGACCATCTTCGGATAACGACGAGATCAAAGATCTGTCGTACAGAAATTGTAGATCGGGTGAAAATCAATCAATTAAAGTTAGAATTAGTCAACTACAACGATAATCATAACGAGTCAGATTTCATTGTGTTACAAACATAGGGAAGGTTAGCATATTTGAGACTATTATTATTACGGATGAACTCGCCTCTTACTGTGGAACCAGTTAGGCAATAAATATAAATAGCTGTCAAATTTATGTGAATAAATGTAAAGATTTCTTCTGCCGAGTTAGCCGTGAATGGTGAGTCCACATTGTACACTACTTGGACAAACGCCACTCAGTCTTACTATTGCACAAAATAATATTGGTTTAAATGTTTAACAATTAAGTTTCTTGTATACGTCGTTTATAAGCACGTGTTATAAACCATACTATACTTGTACTAAACTTAAACTCCTGCTTTAATACGATCGCTGATTGAAAGTGGATCTAATTTGTTTACCTGGCTTCTAAAACCTAACAAATGACCAGTGTTATCAAAATTCCGCTATTAACATATTAATATTGTCTAGACTATTCTCAGACGCAAAGCGGTACTAGTACTAAATTTATGTGCATTTACCTATTTTGTTATTTGCAAGCCATATGACATGCTTATTTTGGTTCAATAGATAGCCTCCCAATGCACTTGCTACCTTTATACTTGAGAATGTATGCATAACAACTTATAACATATGTACAGTGATGGCTCTAGATATTCAGAATAATAAGGATCTGGCTGAAGCAACTGAATAAACCCTGCTATATGTTACTGCTCAGGCAGAACCTTATACGAAAGGTCAACTTCATGACTGAGAAGTAGAAGGATATACTGATTAATGATAACTTTAACATAAGTTAAAAACATATGGAGCAATTTTTTCTCCTTGAACTTTCTTTAAAATACTTCTGATTGTACTGTAATTTTTGGGTTCCATGGTAGATTTAATATAAATGAGTTCATACATTTTATTTTTATAGAGATAACCCTATTACTATATGGAACATGTTATAATTCTCAGTCATATTATTCGCTATAATAATAACAAATTCTAAGATTATCTATAAATTTATGTCCGAGCCACAGCTGTGTTGCTCAAAGCAAACCCTTTCTAAATGTCATTAGTCCTTAATTAATCTTTAAGCCACATCAGGCTCTCATTTACGTCACATTATAATTTCATTTATGCTGTTTTAGGTTCACAGTGTCCAACAATCTTCACGAAAAAGCAGTTAAGACAGTTTTAAACAAATAAATGCTAACACCCCGGCTGAAATAATTATTTCGTTTGAAAGAAAAATCTAACGTTAAGATTTAGCTTAATTTACGATTGTTTCAAATCACTGATGCTATTCTTTTAGTTGTGATCTTCCCAGACTTTCATAATTATTCCTGTCCCAGTAAATTGCTAACCATTGTAGAATGAGCGGAGGTAACTCTCAAGTATATCAACACCACTTCGACATTGTATCAAAGTTTCATATCATCCTGTCGATAGAAAGACTGTTTCTCTTAATACGAACAAACATGATTTAAAAGGTTAAAACGGAAATAACAAGTTACCTTGATGATGAATACAAATTGTTATCATATTCTGACAAGTATCAAAGCCATAGTGCTATAGTCCAGTTGATAAATCAAATTATGCTCAATGTAAACAATGTGACAAGGTACATTGTTAATACACGTACATAGGGAAACTCGATAAGTCGAACACGACGGCTGCCGACTTATCGAGGAATCCGAATTATCGAGGGACCAATAGGATTCATCATAACACATTTCCTTTAATGTTATGAGATATGTTTGCTTTCAAACTGTTCAATAACACAAATAAATCTAATAAACGAAAAATTTTTATTACTAGTTTTCTTCCTTTTCTGCTTCCAGATACTGGGCATTCATAATTATAGTTTTAACTTTGGTCTTTATTAAAGAATTCTGAAGTTGGGAAATCAGCCTTTCTGAAATATTAAAATAAATAAACGCGTTGTTTTGAATACAAATAATCGCAGAATGATATCATCAGCGAATAACAATTCATTACAAGATGTTTGCGATACAACAAAAATAGTAAAATCCTTTGTGAATTCGACTTATTTACTGAGAAGTTGTCTGATTTACAGCTTAACGAGAGTTTATATATGTCATCCGACTTATCGAGAAAATTTTAAATATGAAAAAAAAGGGGCCGTCGAGTGTCCGACTTATCGAGTTTACCTATGTATTTATTACAGTAGTTTGACATAATGCCGAAATCTATAGACAAGAAACTAAAGACATAAATTCTCTGAGATGGCAATTTTATTTGTAAAAAACTTGTCGATTGCTTCTACAAGCCCCGTCGCGGTCTTGCAGCTCGCGGAGGTTGCGCCATTTAAAACAAACATTAATATCTATCGTAATGAATAACGTTATCGAGCAAAACTTACTGCCTTGTGTATAGACCGGTGGTCTTGCGGCTCGAGATGGGTTGCGTCGTGGTTGCGGAGGCCGCGCTCTGTTTGCCCTTTAAAACAATATTAATATTGACCATAATAGATATAACGTTATCGAATAAAACTTACTGCCTGGTTGAGGTTGGTGGTCTTGCGCCCTTAATATTAAGCGAATATAATTAAATATCTAACTTACGATAAAGACATCACTGACCAAAACTTACTGGCTGGGTCCTCAAAAGCATCTGAATAACAACAACACAATTTATGCATACCGCAAATGACAACCAAACGCATTACCATTAACTGGTTGCGTTTTAAACATATTCACAAGGCCGAATTCTTGATTGGGCTGATATAAGCCAATCGAAAACCTGTGAGCGATACTTAAGGAGAAAGTGAAAAAAGAAGTAAATTTACGGTTAATGAAAAGATAGATTATTGAAATCAGCATACAAAATAATAAAAATAAATTTTTGTGTCCACTGTATTTGAATGAAGACGCAAACGCGAAAGTCATCGTCATTGACTGACGATACAAATGCGATACAAATCAGTGACTCACGTCTAACTTGGATATTCTACTCGGTTGATTTTCAATACTATTATATCTCTTTTCTTAGTTAAATCTTGACTAGATTGTCTATGGTATAAGGTAAAGCATCTGCCAATAATTATCGTAATTTAACTTACGTAGTTAAATTTTAGCGCTAACAATCTTTACAAAGAGACAATCGCTTTATTGTGTTACTAGTTATACTTTAGTAATTGTGTGTTTGCTATTATAAGGTAATATTTAACCGTTCAAGTTTCTTGATAGCGTATATGCAGACTGCCAAGTTAAAAAGTTTGTTGAATTTAAGTTTATTCGAATCTAATACATTGTTACTGGCGTTAAAATTAACATATTCTTTACTTAAACAAAGCGCAAGAATTTCATTACTAAATTTACTAATTCGTCAAATAGTCAATATTAATATAATAAATCAAGGCAGGACAATAAGAAGGTAAAGTATTTTAGTACAATTTGAACGAGTCGAGGCTAGACAAAAACAAGATGCGATAGTGAATGAATAATCGACGTACGGGGCTGTTCTGGCTTACTAAGACTTTTGATTGCCTTCTTGTGAATGGAATCTGGAATAATCTCAGATCAACGTTTCTAACCCAAATTTGGTATGTTCCCCGGACTATAACTGTAATATAAAGAAATTTTTTGAACGCCAAAGAAATATTTGATCTCATAATTATTAAGCATGTCAGCTTTCATTCGGACCTCGAGGCTTCTATCAACAGCAATTAAAAACACAAAGGCATTGGAATTGCATATATTTTATTTCTTCTTCACACATTGTGCGTTTCAAGCAGCAAGCAGCTAAACCAGTTTTCAATTATAGTATGTAAATGGGTTCACGGAAGCTGTAGGGAACACGCCTTTGGTAACTTTTTAATAGACTGTTTGAACAACTCTGCAACATGTTGGTTGGAACTAGCTTTACACAATGGCTCACTTGCTTCATAACCCGTAGATACGCCTGCCTACGCTGAGCAAGCAAACTGGCTGTGACATCTTTGCAAAAGCCGAATTTATGAACCCCGGTGGTTCCGTGAAAGACAGAGCTGCATTATATGTAGTGAAGGATGCTGAAGAACGTGGTTTGCTTAAATCTGGTGGGACAGTCGTCGAAGGCACAGCTGGTAAATCGTAAGACAGTGAATTGGTGTTATTTTACGCGATGTTCTTATATCTGTAACGTCTTGTAATAGGTAATACTGGAATTGGACTTGCGCACGTCTGTCGATCAAAAGGGTATAAATGCGTGATATACATGCCGAACACGCAAAGTCAAGAAAAAATTGACTTGCTCCGAATGTTAGGTAGAATGATTCATGGGGGATTCTTCTTGCTTTTGCTACTTGTCCAAGCCCACGTTTTCATTTACGACGTCATTCTTCATTCCTAAAGGTGCTGAAGTCTATCCAGTTCCTGCAGTCCCGTTTGAAGATCCGGCAAATTATAACCACCAAGCCAAACGACATGCAGAAAACCTGCCAAACGCTGTATGGACCAATCAATTTGACAACACAAGCAATCGTCGTGCGCATTATGAAACGACTGGCCCCGAGATATGGGATCAGACAGACGGTACTATTGATGGTTTTACGTGTGCTACTGGTACTGCAGGAACATTAGCCGGTGTTACTAGATTTTTGAAGGAGAAAAATCCCAATATTAAATGTTTTCTGGCTGATCCTCCTGGAAGCGTGTTATACCATTATGTAAAAAGTGGGGGTGCCTTGTTGGAGAGAAGTGGAACCAGTATTACAGAGGGAATAGGGCAGGGAAGAGTGACAGACAATTTGAAGGAAGATATCAGTTTGATGGATGATGCTATGCAAATACCGGATGAAAAGAGCATCGAAATGGTATATCGTTTGTTAGACGAAGAAGGATTGTATGTGGGAGCGTCTACTGCATTGAATATCGCTGCTGCCGCGGAGATGGCCAAGATTATTGGCCCAGGTAAGTTTTGGGAGATTTTTTTGTTCATAGTAAAGAAGATTGATTATTAAGAGGCAGGATTATAAATTAACGTCTCGATCCTTATAGGGAAGAAAATTGTAACTATTCTTTGCGATGGAGCTTATAGATATCAGTCGAGATTATTCAGTAAGTACATTGTAAATGTCATTCATTGAACATACTCTGATGGGTTAATGGACATTCATATTTCATTATATCAATTAATAGGTCGCACGTGGTTAGAAAGCAAGAATCTCTTGAATGCCATTCCCGACCATTTACAGAAATATATAGTACTATCATGATGTGTACATCAGACATTTGTTGGGGCTAAAGTGACAAAAGCATGATGTGTTATTCTTACTGTCTTAACCTTATAAACTTGTTTAGGTTTTGCAAGTAAGAAATAGAATTTCATTGCTTTGATCCCTTTGAGAATTTCACTATTTATAATAAACTATTTAAAAAAAGGCAATAGTTTGTCAGAAAGTACAGCACTGTGAGTCTAAATACATTATTTTTAATCACAGTTTAGTGATTGGTTTGTGAGCTCAGAAATGAACATGAGATATCCGAGTTTACAGTGGAGGGGAGGGGAGGGAAGAGCTTTTGTTCAGCAGATGTCATTAAAAATTATCCTGTCATCTGCAGCCTGTTCTCAGATTGAGGCTAAACATGTTTAGTAAATGGGTTTATTTTATCTTGTATTGTGAATCCAGCATCTTATGTATGTCCAATAAGTAACAGCCCCAAAATTATAAAGGTTCGCGATAAGCAAATAAAAAGAAATGGGATTATTTAGAATCCCATTTTATTACCGTTGTTGTAATTCCATCACCAAATCCTTGTTGACAAGCAATTTTTTAAAAATAATGGAACATAATAATCATATTCCTAACCCGCCGTCAATCACAAGTGTCTGACAAGTAACATAGTCGGCTAAGCTAAGATACAAAGCCGCACTAGCAATATCCTGAAAAATTATATAACATGCCATGTTTGTTTAGTCCTCGATCATTCATATACAGACTTTTTAATTATAGAAATATTGTACCTTGGGTTTTCCAAATCTCCCAAGCAGTGTCTGTGATAATATTTGTATACTTCTTTCATCCAGAATGCCTATAGCAAAATGGAACAACATTCAGATAATGTTCATTCTATACTTATGCTCCTACTATGATGTACCTGATGTCATATCTGTTTCTATGTAGCCTGGTGCGATAACATTTACTCTTATATTTTTTGGTGCCAACTCTTTAGCCAGTGATTTGGAAAAGCCTACGAAATATAAGATTGCGTTTTAATCCGCGGACGCTTTCTAACACAAATTAGTTTACTATAAACACTTACCTATTATACCTGCCTTCGACGCGGCATATATAGATTGTCCAACATTTCCATATAAACCAGCGACGCTTGATATATTAATGATACAGCCTATAGAATCATAGTGTTAGTATGGTATGGTAAACTTTTCTTATGTAGAACATTTAAGAGGTTATCAATGAACCTTGTCTCTGTCTAATCATCGATTTTGACAAATAGCTGCACATATATATTGTACCAAGTAGGTTTGTATTGATAACATCACCAACATCTTTTTCGTTTATTTTAACTGACAAGCAGTCTCTTGTGATTCCTGTAATTCAACAAGAAATAGTGTTTAATCTAAATAATAATACTAATGTTTCTAGTACTCAGCAAACATAAAATTATAGTATACCAGCAGCATTGACTAATATGTTAACCTTCCCTAATTCGTCTATCCTCTTGTTAATTGGTAAATTATTGATATCCTCATTAATAGACTTGGTTAGATAAGAACTGAAAGCGAATAAATTCAACATGCCTTGCAAACATTCTCGATTTCCTCTCTATTCCTCAAGTCACATGCAATCCCAACATGCTTCTTCTGAACTGTTGCTTCACTGTTGAGTTTAGAAGCAGCCTGTGCAATTTTATCAGAATTCTTACTTATTACAATACATTGTGCTCCGTTTTGAGAAAATTTCTGCGCAATGGCATATCCTATCCCACGTGATCCACCAGTAATTACCGCAAGTTTATTCAGAAGGTCTGTAGTAATATAAATAGGAAGACGGTCGGTTTTCTTTCTACTGTTTCAAATAATTGACACAAAAACTAATATTTCATCAAACCTGAATGAGATGCAGTATGCAAGGGTGCAGTCAAAATTTTTTGAAATGTACAAGCTCCCACTTTATACGTCCTCATCTTCAGAAGCAAACCTGATGCTAACTGTGATCGACCTGGAAGAATGTGTGATCAGTCACGTGATCTAAATTAACATACATCACATCGCGTAACATCACATCACATCGCATAATAAACGAAACTATGGGTGTTGGGGATGTATATAAGGTAAAGTGGACGTAGCAATATAGTATTCTTGGTTTAATAAGTTCATAATTTCATTTATTAGTGCCGGAAAACCTTATCGAGTCTGTGATCATTACGACGCTAAAACGTCAGCATAAAGAAGACCGATAGCCTCGCCTTCATTGTCCTCCTTTACCAAGAGAACTAGATCATAAGAAAATTGGGGATTCTAATACGGAAGAAGTGAAAAAAAAATGATAGATCGACGAAAATATTGACGAAAATAATAACACTGCATAAAACTACGGTTTATACGACTCATGATCATATTATAGACGTCGAGATTTATTTGACAGTCTTTCTACGACCCGGGAGTATTTTTGTGGGATGACCGTACCAAAAATCAGCATGCAGACGAATTCACCGAGTACAATTGCGACAGATTTCTTGGTTTGCAATATCTGCGTGATAACGTCGTGGCAAATGTCCATGGTAACATGGACATTGCATATGTACAGAGGGTGTGATGCATCTGTCTATAGGCAAACGAAGGCCCTCGTACACAAACATGGCATCGGGCTTGTAATTGAAGTGAAAAATGTAACCATTTTATGCATAATTCAATAGTATACTAATAATATTATTCAATCTCTGATACTTATCACAGGAACTCATAACTCAAGGACAAGGACAAGGAGAAAACCACTCATCCTCCCACCCCAATTTTTTCTCCGTACTTTCTCCTGTGATGGCTGAGAAATAAACAATACCAATGTGTAGTAGCATCCTACTAGACAAAATGAACAAACCACAAAAACTTCATAAAAGCAAAGTTCATTCATTTATTTTTTAGAAACATTGGAAAATGTTCATTTATGCTCATGTTTACTGACAGACAGTTTCTTTTAGAATTAGCAAGATTTACTACCAATGTCTAACTGAACAATATAATTATCTGTTATGCAATCCATTAATATTAAATATAAAGCTTTGCAATGTGTGGGTTGAAATAAACCCTATGGTGGTGGAGAAAAAAACTGAATTGTTAACCCTAAGATTAGAGGGAAAATAGCAAGGTAACTATCATGAAGGCAAATGAGTTTGAGTTAGGATTTATCCCAACCCAGAGTGAGAAACTGAGAGTACCTATACTGATACTGTATAATGCTGCTTAATTGTATGGCATTCTACACTGTTTTTCAAACCATGAACTTGTGATTGGAGAATAGAGATGATATCCAACAGCATTCTTCAAATTATTATAAAAATCAAGAGTATACGGACCAGTGTGAATGCGATAGACTATTCCTGAGGGTTCTTCTCAGCATTGCTTCACGATGGGCCTGTATGATTAACGATTGTACTAGTCGTAATTGTACAGTAACGTGCAAAAGTATCCTACCGGTTGTATCATCTAAACGTACATAATAATAACTCCTTAAATTTTCCA